GTTATAAGCGAGGTTGAGAAGAGGATCCAAACTTTTGGGATTTTTCTATTGTTGCACGGATTATATGTATGGTGTGCTTCCGGAATAGCTGTGGCTCTTTCTGTATTACAGGGCAATGGTGTTTATGGTTTATAAGTTTGTAGACTAGTCATGTCAATAGGATGAGTAATACCATTGTGATATTGAAGAGTAAGTTTTCACAGAAGTAGCCAGTCAAGTTGTGTTGAGATTATCATGCGATTGATTTTAAGTTGTGCTATGAGAGGGCCCCGGGCGCAACTATCGTCTGATGACCGATGGCAAGAGGAAAGTAGATTCCCAGATGTTAGACGCGTCGGTGAAGGGCGGTCGGTTACAGCTAGTAGAGGTTTCTGCGACTGGTTATTATGGAGGGACGCTTCTTCAAAAATTACATAAACAGAACACGACGAGGATAAAGTGGCGAACTTGAGAACGACGAATCATCGAACCCTTTGGGATTCATGACGAACATGAATGGTGTCTTGACGAGTTGTCGAGACGTGACGTCAGAGTTATCCATACTTTTTGAGTTGTCTGTTGATTGTGCGACATTATCATGGAAGAGGCTGGCAAGTTAGTCACAGAATTGGTTATGTCCATGACTAGGCAGCAGCTGTGCCCTAGAAACAAATTCGTCCAATACAGAGATGTTGTTGTAGTGTTTTTGTCAGAGTTACTGTTGCACTGTATTTCTGATAGCGGAAAAAAGAGGTGACAGATAACTAGACGTGAAGTGTAGGGGTTCCGTCGCACAGCACTTGTTCACGACAGCTTAAAACCAAACTAGTTACAATATTTGCAGAGTTAAACGAGAAACAAATACATTTTCTGTTTTGTTAGCAGATCAGGCATCTTATTATCCGGAAACTAGCACGCTGGCCCATCCCGAATGATCTCAGCCGACAGAGGAGCGTGCCTTAAGGTTGAGCTGTTTTTTGTATAAAATACCGGGTTTAGAATAAACGAGGGAGAGGATAGAATGATGTGTATCCCGACGGCATGCTTAGGACAGAACCCGCTGAAGCACTAGGTACGACTGAGAATTTGCAGGACTGTCTGCATATGACTTACATTGCTAGTAGACAGGATACCTTAGGCACCCGTTACGGGAAATCGGCAGTATTAGCTCTGAATTCTAACCCAGGGGACAACTTGTCCGGGCTTCGAGGTAAGGAAAGTGACGGCGATGTCTTTATGCCGACTTCTGATATGTGA